ATTCTTGCAGGTACGATTTTGTGAACAGTACAGAAAATTATTGTGACTAAACTTGAACAACTCCTCTACGAATCTCTAGCCGCCACGTTGACACTCAATTAACTGCCGAAGGTGCGTTCAAACTGTCATTTTTATTTGCATTAACCTCAAAGCACACACACAAACGCACAGACACACACAGACACACATCGCAATGCTGACTCGTACCCAAACGTTGCTTGTTGTCTTTTTGGGTTTAATTAGTTGTTACCCAAGCCAGCTTCTTTTAATTTGTTGAGAACTTCGGTCTTAGTTCTTTCCGAATGGTAACTCCTTATGAGCTCAAATCAAAAAAAAAATACCACATTAGTAGAGCTCTACATGACCTCAAAATTAACTCTTCTCCAACTAATCTTTTTTTTCAAATCTAAACATCGTTTTTCTCAATCTGCCAATTTTTTTAAAAGTTGTTTCGCAATACAGGATGATACATAGTGTCAACTTTTGTTGAGTCATAACGTAAGCTCTGCAGCAGATAGCAGAAAACAACACTCGTATCAAAATATAAAGCTCCCCCCTCACCACCTATCATGCTTACTTGGTAGTGCAAAAAACTTGCCAGACCACTTTGTGGATTACAAGTTTCCCTGTACTCTGACGATGAGGAACAGTTTTGAGACTGCTTCAATAAGATCCTTTTACTTTCAACAGCTTGTAGAGGAAGCATTTCAACTGAATTTGAGTTGTTTTTTATAGGTTTTTTGAGCCATATTTTCAGAAAGAGAAGTGACTATTTAATCGCACTTCATTTTTGCAGACTTTTTCAAATTTCTATTTTAACGCTTTTTTCCTCTAAATAGCATATCAATTATAATCATTTAATTGATTCTAATACTTGAAATGCTCAAGTATATGCTCTATATTTCGTTCTTTCACTGTGACTCTTAATGCTTAAGCCATTGAATTCTTTGATTTTGAAAGCGATTTATTGTCCGTGACAGGTTGATAATGCTTTTGTAGTTGTTCTGCTGTAGAGAAGATTAGATTATGTCAAGTGAAGACCTACTGTGTCGCCTTATTTATTATGACTGCCGAGGCGTATTATGTGCAATAAGAACTTGATCAAATTATATTTTTTAATTTTATTTTTGGCTATATACTACCAACTGATGTTATTGGAATGATAGTCTCACTTTTCAAAAATTTATGTGTGGTTAGGCTCGCGCGTATTGTTGATAGCATCTAGAGTGAATCGCAAAAAGTGTTTAAGTTCAACAATTTCCAATTTCACTTTGACCTGCGCTCAAAAAAGGCATATAGTTATCTAGCAGAATAAAGAAAAATTGGAAATAACTGTAAGTGCAGGATCATGGTATGCAAGTATTTTGATGGTATCCTGCTAAGTATATATTTTACATTTTCACACATTCAGTCCCGCTATAATTTTAGAATTATCCTTGTAAAAAATTGATGTTAAACAATTCTTGATCCCTCCGCAACGTCGCTTCCTCCTCTTAACGATTTTTAAAAAATTTCTTTCAGCTAATCCAGGCAAATGGACCCGTTATCTGTTTTAAAAATAGAGATTTGGCAGCAAAAATTTTTTGGCAAAGTGAGATTGATTTTTTATTTCTTTTTTGTTTTGAAATTTGCTAAAGGATTTGTTTCTTGCAGGACTGGAAATCTTATATAGCCGCAATATTCGGTGAGAGCGAGTTTGGTCGAGCTCGGATCGAACTCTTTACCTCTCCAAAGAAAATTAAAGCTATGGAACCACATAGGACTATATTGCTTGATCAGTGCATAGCTATAAAATCACTTAGGAACGGAGGTTTGCAAAGCCATCTTTGCTGGGAAATTCGTTATTGAAACGTTTTCATAGGAGATTGTTTTTAGAAGAACATCCTCAAATTCGTCTTCGAATGAAAGACGACGCTGAGTTGCGTCTCAGGTGCGATCAACATTCTCAGCTGATGACTTGTCTTAGCACAGCGGCTTTCCCTAAAAAAGTTAGTTTTCGTAATCGTTTGATAGAATTAACTTCAAACAAAGTTTTCAGTATGTCACCATCGCACCGAGCACTTCAATGGAGTCCTCATCTTCTGAAAACGATGACACT